GTGCTGCTGGAAGTAGGATGATGTCATCGTTCTGATGCTCCAGCCTTGACATGCCAAGTGTGTTCACACTCTTAACAGAGCTTCCTGCCTCTGTGCGTGTGTGTGTGTGCGCGCACGTGTGTGTAAATGGGATAATTGGTTTCCTCCGACAGCAGCAGACTGAATTAATCCCACACCATCACCTTCTCGTTTTCCTCTCAGACAGCTGTTTTCCAGGATCAGGTGGGCAGCTGCCGAGGAGCCTTTGAGCAACATAAGTGTGACTCTACAACAAACACGCCACAAGCTCACAGCTGCTTCTCTGAAGACAAACAATGATAATTAATGTCCATCAGACAGCTGAGTTCGCTCTAAATTCAGATGATGGATTATTCATCTGCAGCTTTGTCTTCACTTTACTCCATCCACGGGTCCTAGTTTGGACCTGAAGTCCTCCAGAACCTGGGAAGGTCTGAACTCATCCAACAATACAAACCTCACATCCAGCAGTGAAGCAAACATCTGCAACACATTGAAGCTCAGACTTTAATCTGGTAAAATTATCAACGCAAAACATTCACATATTTATGGATCTGCTTCCATCGCGATGGTGGACCGACCTCGTTACAGAAGTGATGTCAGAACCAGATCACGCTCTGTGACCCGTAACGAGGGGATCCATTTGGTCTTACGGTGGACCTGAAGACCTCACAAAGACCGTCTGTTGGTGTTTTATATCAGAATTGTCACAAAGTGCACAGCTCAGAGGAGCAGAACCGCCTTGGTCCTCTGAAGTTCTGTTGAGCCTCTGATCTTTCAGCCGGATCAGGATGGAGCTCTCTGTTCTGTTTGTGAAGCAGAACTCAGTCTGGGTTCTTCATTCTTTGTTGTGTGCTCGTCCATCACGAGTTAACACCGTGACCCGCCGACTCAGCACATTTATTTCCTGAACTTTTATTTTTCTCTGACGACCACATGGACCTGAGCCCGGACGCCTGACCAGCAGGTTCCTGTCCCTCTGACATCCTGCTGGACCTCGCCCCTCCCTGTTCCAGGCTTTTTTTTTTTTTTTAAAGAGTTAAAATTTATTTATTTATATTTTCCAGATTTAATGTTGGACTCTTGTTCCATTGTTCCATCTAGTGCGTCCGGGTTCTGTAGCTCCAGTAAAAAGTTCCTGCGACGGTTAATTTGTCTGAAGGTGCAGAGCGGGCGGTTGTCATGTAGTCGTTTATCTCTCGCTGGTTAAACACCATCTGCCGGGGGTGGGGTGGATGAGGGGGATGAGGGGGCTAGAGACCCTCGTTATGGAGCTCGTTAGACCGAGCTGCCTCTGATGTTCAGCCATGCGAACGGAAAACGACTTCAAACCCTCAAAAAACAGTTTATCTAATTAAAAACTTCTAGATTAAAACCCGAATCGTGAAAAAAAGAATAATTATAAAAGTTGAGAACATCTTTCTGTGACACATTTGGCTTTTATTATGAAAATTTACTAATTATTTCCCCAAATTTTATCAGTTTTCTCAGATTGATTTATGCTGTTTGTGGAAATTCGTCATAAATCTTAAGTGTGCAACATCTTGAATTACAACTTTTAATATTAAGGCCTAATAATAACAAATATGTAGTAATAACAAATACAAATAAATGTAATGATAAATAGTTTAATGTTTAACGACTGAATGTGATGAAACTGAAGCGACTTTAATCCCTGATCTGCTGTTTGAAAGCCTAAATGAATGTCTGCGAACTGATCGATGCACGGGCAGAAAATTGCTGAAATGTTCTTTAAAGCGTGGAACAGGAACCAGGTCAGATCAACGATCGTTATCTGAAATATTTATCGATCGGCGAGGAAAAGCCGGTCTTATTTACACCCCGAGACCTCCTGTTCGCTGGAAAACCACAGGACCATTAACGTGCGTGTGTAATCTCGTTACAGTGATGGCAGGCCCTCAGATTATCATATATCCACACACACACACGCGCGCGCACACACACACACACACACACACACACGCGCGCACACACACACACAGTATGACTCAACCTGTCTGCTTTTTCAGCTCTGCTTTGTGTGTGTGTGTGTGCTCCTACATTTTGGTGGCTCAGTTGTGTTGGTGCTGGTCACATCGTACCCCGCCGCCTAACCACCAGTTGACGTTTTGTACCTGTTGGGTACGAAACGACCAACACCCACCTCTGGTGCAGGACTCTGTGATTTCTGATTCTCAGTATCACAGAACCATCCGGAGAAAACGAGTTTGCTGAAACCTTCGTAGCTGAATGTAAATTTGTAAAATGTTCAATGTTTAACTCTTTAATTAATGTAACAAAACACGTTTCATGTAAAAAAAAAAAAAAGTTACACAATAAAACATGAAAATTAAGAAAAAGAAAAACGACTTAGGATACATATGGATGTATCCCAGCATGCATTGGGGCACACAGGAGCTAAACACAAGTCTGCGCAGGAACAAGACTATTAGACTGCAAGGAGCCCAAACCATCAGCCCTCCACCACCGTGCTGACAGCTGGGATGATGTGTTTGCTGCAGTGCATTCTGGGTAAACGCCTGTCCTTTGTTCTGATTTTGTCCCTGGACGCTTGTGGATTTTTCAGCTTAAACTTTTCAAACCTAAGTCGTGCTGCCATGTTTTTTTTAGAGAGGATTCCATGACCTTTGACCTTTTACCTGCTAACTAAGGTCTGTAGAGTCTGAGGTGGAGCTCACTGCATGGTCTGACCTTCAGGGTGAACTTGGCTGGGATGTCCATTCCTGTGAAGATTGTCAGCTGCCTTAAATATTTACCACTTTTGAATAATTTTTCTGTCTGTGGTATGAAATGACCTTTGACCCCTCCCAGATTGATGGGCAGCATGAGTGTCTTCTCTGAGGTCATTGCTGATGTCCTTCCATCTTGGCGTTGTGTTAAAACACACCTGTTTGATCCTGTATGAAAGACTGGACTCAGTTTTTCACTCAAAATTTTAACATTTTGCTTTTGTTTGAAAAATAATGACTCTGTTGTGTCTATAGATTATTATTTTTTTTACGTTAGGTTTGATTTGAATCAGTTTAGATTAAAAAAAAAAAAAGAAGATTTTTTTATTCCCTGCAAAACCCAGATCTGAAAGAAGGTGATTTTCTTTTTCCCTACAGATATGAGTTCATGACAAACTGTGGAGTTGCTCATGAAGACGTGTGACGGTGGTTTAAATCTCTTTCCTGCTGTTTTAGTTTCTTTGTTTTTATCTGAATTGAAGCGAACCCCTTCCTGACTGCAGCTCTGTCAGAATAAACCCAGGTCCTCTAGTTTACGGGTGAAAAAGGTGAAATGAAAAACCAGTTTGTTGTGATTTTTCTCAGTCAGTAAACTGACTGACTGCTGCAGGAAGGAGATTATTTCATCAGAGCAGGTAAATAACTGGACCGCAGCATCATTAAAACCTCATCAGCGAGGAGGGGGTTCAAACTTCACTTTATCAGCCTAACAGATGTGTCCATTGTTCCCCATTAATGAGGCTGTAGAGGAATAATCACAGCTGAGCGCGAGCGTCTCTGTGTGTCGCTGACGGCTGCGAGTTCGGCGGCTGATCCATCACGGCTGCGGTTTGGTGTTTTGCTCGTGGCTGTGTGTGGATCTCTGTTCCTCCACCTGGTGTGTCTCTCTGCTGCAGGTTTTCTCTCAAATCCCCCCAAAAGTCAGAGGTCACGCATCCAAACTCAAACAGGAAGCGAAGCCTCTTTTTACCTCGTCATATCTCCTCCATTAAACCCTGTAGAAGCGCCAAACAGAACCTGTGGTACCGTCAGAACCTCCTGCTGCTCACGGTTCAAGATGTTGCTTGATCCGACTTAACAGTTTTCACATACAGGCCGTTTGTCTGAGGCTTACTTTTTACTCTGAGTTTCTGCCTTAATAAATGTTCTGTCAGGGAGTGACAGACACAGGTATGTGGTTACCATGGTGACCCCCAATGAGCCACTGGTGTATGTGCAACGTCTCTTTAGATCTTGGTTGTCTTTGCTCTTCTACAGTTTATTCCTCCAAACGTCGGCCATCTTGTCCGGGTAGATTACTACAACAGGAAGTTGGGCTTTAGAGAATAAAGATGGTGGATGTTCAGGCGTCCTTCAACATTTCTGTTGAATGTTTCTCTTCTTCAAACTCAAATGGGTTCAGACAGATGTGAAGCGTGATTCAGTTTCCAGTCCCGTCCCCTAAATGTTGGTGTAAACTAAACCTGTTGCGATAAACTATAAATCAATTAATCGCATGATAAATGAAAATTATCGACCTCGTTTTCATTTATCGCCTTTATTGTTTCTTCTTGTCTCTCTCTTTCTACTGAAGACACTAGACGACAAAAGGCTCAACTCCGGTGCTCTTCACTCACCCCTCCCTTTCTCTTTAAAGTACATTTTAACCGTCCAAAATCAAGTTTTTGCATCGTTAAAAGCAGCTAAACTGAGAAGCTAAGCTACAAGCTAAGCTAACAAGCCGACCTTGGAGAATAAACCTCCGTCTTAACGAAGCTCCAAAATTCACGGTTGAAACTTTGTGTAAAAACTTGTTTTTCTCTGCAAAAAGAAGCTGAGAACTTTACTGATTTTTTTTATTAAAAGCTTTGTGTAAAAAATGTTATGCTAAAGAGCTCAAACCACACCGAGCGTCCGCCATTTTGAGAACCGAAAAACAGAAACGAGAGACAGCCCATGTCACGTCAAGGGGCCTCCCTCCCATTTTTCTTAAAGTGACACGCTGCTCGCTCCCTCACTATCCATCCTTCTGTTCAATCAGTCTTATACTGCCATCTGGTGGCCAAAAGTACTACACTCAAAACAAATTAAGCATTTCTTCTTAAATTTAACAATAATTACTAATTATTGTCAAATTTCAAACAATATTATCGTTTATCGCAATAATTTCTGAGACAATTAATCGCCCAGCAAAATTTGTTATTGTGTGTGAGTGTAAACCCGTAACGACCCGGTTGTCTGGTTCCTCTGCAGGAGATGTTGTCGACATCTACCAGAGGGAGTTTCTGGCGCTGAGGGAGCGCCTCCACTCTGCCGAGCAGGAGAACCTGAGGCGCTCCAAAGAACTGAACCTGGTCCTGGAGGAGATCAAGCGGGCCATCGCTGAGAAGCAGGCACTCAGAGACATCAACCGGACCTGGAGCAGCCTCTCGGGTCAGTACCACGATGACGATGAACTCATCTCAGTTTATGCTCTGAAACACAAGCCCAGTTCTTGGGACGTTGTGTAAATAAAACCAGAGTGAAATGATTTGTTCAAAGCCAGAACAGAACCAGACCTGTTCTTAATGCAGCGGCCCCCGGGGGTCCCAACACCACAACCTTCAAATCACCCTCATCCTTTGAGATTTCTCCAGATAATTCTAATCTGTTAATGAGATTATGAACCGGAGATGATGGAGATTCAGTCTTTCATTCAGGAGCTTTATTCTGAAAATCTGCTGCAAATAACAGCCTGGTGAACCTCTGCCCATCTTTACTTCTGACGTTCAGCCTCTCAATGTGTTTTATACCCAGTCCTCTTATGGATCTGTTGATAATTAACCTCATTAGTTATAAAAATGATCCTCCAGCTGGTGCTGATTAGTTTTACAGCTTTTTGTTGCTCCTGGAACAACTTTTAGACGCGCTGCTGCCTTCAAAGTCAAAATTAGCTTATGTTTCCAAAAATGTTTTTTAGTTTAAACATTTTTTTTCTTTACTATGTTCCATTGTGAAAAAATTATTGGTTCATGCGATTTAATAATCACTGCATTCTGTTTTTTTTATTTTACAATTTACACAATGTTCCACCTTTTTTCTCCCATTATACATTTTTTTTGAAATTTTATAACAAATTCATTTAAAAGTGATTTTTTTTTTTCATTATTAATTGTAGATTTTTAACAATAGCATCTCGTTGTGTTCGTGACACCTGAAGCTCTGCTCTGACTGAAAACACGTCCAGGTCTAACGTTGTTTTTTTTTTACTGGTCCAAATCTGAGCGGCACAGTGGAGCAGTGGTTAGAGCTGTCACCTCACAGTGAGAAGGCCGCAGGTTCGCCTCCTTTCTGTGTGGAGTTTATGTCCTTCCTGTGGGTTTTTTCCAGTTTCCTCCCACAGACCAAACACCTCTGTGTTCAGTTCATCTGTAACTCCAAATTGTCTCTTGGTGTGGACGGTGGTTTGTCTCGTCGTCTCCATGTGTCCCTATGATGGACTGGAGACCTGTCCAGGTGTACCCCACCTCAGATCGGCACCGGCTCCTCATGACCCAGAAAGATGAAGCGGTTTAGAAAGTGAATGGATGTAATTCTACTGTCTTCATTTCTAAAATTAATCCAGCAGATTAAATCATGAACGGTGGTCAGCTGCAGCTGAGGTGGGTGCGATGTGGGCGGAGCTGGACAACAAAATAATGTGCACGGCCAAGAATACAGTTTTACAACCTGAACACGTGAAAATGGGCTGTAAGTCTGAAAAACTGGCTTCACAAACACGTTCAGTGAGACCGTGATTTAAAGCACATCTCAGATAATTTTGGTTACATATAATTTTGTTTTAAAGCAAACCACTGCTAATAAACAACAAAGTCCATGCTCAATAATCCAGGTATACAATCCAGCATTTTTCAGTCAGGTCATCTGGACAATTTCTTTTTTTTTTGTGCTGAAACGTTTCACCTTAGATCCAGAAGGCTTTATCAGTCAAGGAAACACACAACAAAACTGATTCTTCCCCCAACAGCTACTCCAAAGTGGAACAAGCCAGTTATGTTGGTGCTAAGATGGTCTCTTTGGCACACCCCCTCCTCCATTGCCAGCCCTCTTCCTTGTTGACTGTCGTGTCAAACTGGTTGAAAACAACAAAGTCCATGCTCAATAATCCAGGTATACAATCCAACAAAAGACACCATTTTAGCACCAACTTAACTGGTTTGTTCCACTTTGGAGTAGCTGTTGGGGGAAGAATCTGTTTTGTTGTGTGTTTCCTTGACAGATGAAGCCTTCTGGATCGAAGGTGAAACGTTTCAGCACAAAAAAAAAAAAAAGAAACTGTCCAGATGACCTGACTGAAAAGTGTTGTACTGCTAATAAAATAAAAATGTTTAGTTTCATGGTCAGTTCATGAGCACTTGTTGTCTGCTCTTGGTCATTTTTGTTCCATAAACATCTGGTTACAAATATTATTTTGTTTATTCTGAGAGCTGCTGGATTTAATTGGGTTTGTTTTAATCTATTAATGGCTAATCAAAACACTGGTTGGGATTATGAGTTCTCCTCTTACTGAAACACAGTCGCAGAAAAATCTTGACCTGGTTATTCCATCCTGACCTGTCCAGTTTCTTCGTTTTTTGTGTGGTCTCTCCTGGACCGCCGGGTCTGATCGGGTCTTTTTGCGTCCTCAGAGGAGACGAGGCTGAAGCTGTGGAACGTCAGCAGCAGTAAGAACGTGCTGCAGCTCCCCTCCATCTTCCATCATCTTCCTCACCTGCTGAACAGAGAGGACAGCCTGCAGCCCGCCGTGCACCTGGGTCAGGGAAGAACCGGAGGTAAAGCTCGCCGCACGTTTGATCTCAAAGACTGAAAAACTGTCTGGCTGTGCAGGATCTGCCCGTGTTCAGTTTGACTTTATTCACAGCTAAAATGAGTGTTGGATTTAAGAGTCTGTCCTTATTTTCTTGACACCACCTCATGCATCATGCATCCAAGAGCCAATGTTCGGCTGCTGTTGATTCATCTAAGAACCAAAGATCGGCTAGTGTAGACTCATCCAAGAGCCAGCGTTCGGCTGGTGTTAACTTCTAAGAGCCAATATTCATCTGACGTAGATTCATCCAAGAGCCAATGTTCGGCTACTGTTGACTCATCTAAGGGCTAAGGATCAGCTAGTGTAAACTCATCCAAGAGCCAGCGTTCGGCTGGTGTTGATTCTTAAGAGCTAACATTTGGCTGGTGTAGACTCATCCACAAGCCAAAGTTTGGCTGGCGCTAACTCTTTTAAGAACCAATATTCGGCTTTTAGACTCATCTAAGAGCCAACGTTCACCGGGTATAGATTCATCCACAAGCTAACATTCAGCATATATTGACTCTTAAGAGTCAACATTCAGCTGGTTTAGACTCATCCATGAGCCAAAATTTGACCATTTTTTGAATCTTAAGAGCCAACGTTCGGCTGGTGTAGACTCATCCACAAGCCAACATTTGACTGGTTTTCTCTCTTTTAAGAGTCAATGTTCAGCTGATGTAGACCCATGCACGAGCCAACATTCGGCCGGTGTTGACTCTTAAGAGGCAATGTTCGGCTGGTGTTGACTCTTAAGAGCTATCGTTCGGCTAGTGCAGACTCATCCAAGAGCTAAAATTTTACTGTTTTTTGACTCTTAAGAGCCAACCTTCGGCTGGTGTAGACTTATCCAAGAGCCAGCATCCAGCTGGTGTTGATTATTTTAAGAGCCGACATTTGGCTGATGTAGACTCATCAACGAGCCAAAATTTTACTGTTTTTTGACTCTTAAGAGCCAATATTCGGCTGGTGTAGACTCATCCAAGAGCTAAAATATGAGTGGTTTTTGACTCTTAAGAGCCAACCTTCGGCTGGTGTAGACTTATGCAAGAGCCAACATCCAGCCGGTGTTGATTCTTTTAAGAGCCGACATTCGGCTAGTGTAGACTCATCCATGAGCCAACATTCGGCCGGTGATGATTCTTTTAAGAGCCAACGTTCGGCTGGTGTAGCACATCAGGCTGTGTTAGTGGAACTGAAATCAGGTAAAAAGTCATTAAGACGCCTGCGGAAGCCTCACCTCCAGCCCAGAGCTCCAGTTTGAAACAGAGCACCTTCTGTGGGAAACGACTTCAGTTTATTTACACCGTCAGCTCAAGTGTAAGCTCTGTGATTCACCCCGAGGCCCCTGGAGAGTAAAACACAGAGCGGCCACCATCCAGGCTGATGAAGGTTGCAGGTGGTGTGTGTCACTGTGCGTGTGTTCATCAGATCTTAGTTATGGTGTGAATGTGTTCATACAGTTGTTTTCCTGTTTGTTGTCTTTATTCCAAATGTTTTTAACATGCACTTTAATAATCTTTAAGCTGTTTTAGCCATTTAGCTGTCAAAGAGTTCGCCTCATGCTCGCCTCCTTTTTGTATTTGTCTCTTTGATAAAATGTAACTTTTTTTTTTTGTTTCGTTGAAATTATTGGGGCGTATTGATTTTAGTATTTGTAGCTCGAAATTGTCGTTTGGCTGATTTTTCTTATCGCCCAAGAGAGAAGCAGACAGAACTCTGGGAAAGGCTTGAGGGTAAATTTAGAAAAACTATTTATTTAAACAAAAACAAAAGAGCTGACATGGTGGAAAAATACAAGGAAAGCATGAACAACTTTACAGCTTAATGCCAGAAAGACCAGAGCCTGTTTATGATAGGACACTAACGAGGGAGAAATGACACCTGGGGCGACGGGCTCAGGTGAGAGTGGGAGGAGCAGGAGTGGAAAAACACTGGGAAACAAGATACCACAGGAATACTCAAAAAAGAACACAAAATACACAGATCTGGACTATTTTAGGGTTTAGGTGCTGTTCTGCTAATTTGAGCTTTTAGCTGTGGTTTAGCTAATTTTATTATTAGCCAAACCGTAGGTATTTCTGGGTCCATGTGGCCACTTCCTTCATATTTCATCCAACTGCCTGTCAGCTCTGTTATTCAGCAGTGTCACATTTTAAAACCCTGGAACCTTTCACTGTCTATTTCCTGGAATCATTTCAGTCGTGTTTCTTAGTAACTTTTAAGGACGATGACTATTTACTGAGAATGTGTTGCACTCACACATGCTAACCTTGTGTCTTTATTACCCCGCACCTTTCCAGGTCACTCTATCGGCTCTGTGTATTTAATGATTACACCGCACACTTTCAGGTCGCTCTATCGGCTCTGTGTATTTAATGGTTACAAAGCACCTT